CGATGTCTGTTGCAACATGCCCTGAAGAGCCGGACTTCTAGGATTCAATGGTGATTCCGGTGGTTGCTGGTGCAAAGGACTTTGTGCCATGAATGGTTTATTAGCCTGTTGCTGTTGCATTATGTGTTGTTGCATTAAATTTTGCTGCTGCTGCTGTTGCTGCATTAAATTCTGTTGTTGCATCATCTGTTGCTGTTGGATACTCTGTTGTTGTTGTTGTGTGTTCTGTTGCTGTATATTCTGCTGCTGCTGCTGCAAGTTTTGATGCTGTTGTTGTAACATATTTTGATGTTGTAGAGTTTGTTGCCTTCTTTGTTGTCCCTGTTAAAACAAAGATATAAGCATAATGTGATAAACAGCTACTAATTAAAAAATTGTACATATCAAAGACATACCAAATATATATTTCTCTGCATATGACCAGATTCTGTTTGTACCACAGTTGATACTGGCGTTCCTGTGTTTATTCCACTGGACATTATAGGTTGAGGACTTCCCAGAGGCATATGAGTTGGAGAAAATGATGGTCTCATGCCTAAAGCAATCATCCATAATCAATTATAATGAACAGAGATAAGTGAATTCATCCTCAATTTTTTATTACCTTGTTGTATTCTAATTCTTTGCTGTTGCGGTTGCTGCTCAATCGTGCCTCCACTCGATGCCATTGGCCTAACAAATCTGTTTTGATGTTGCTGTTGCTGCTGCAATTGCATTTGCTGTTGTTGAGTTAACATTTGCTGTTGCTGCTGCTGATTCAATAATTGTTGTTGTTGCTGCTGTTGAAATTGATTGACAGGATTCGGACTGGGTGTTCCAGATGTCCTCGGTGACATTGTGCTGTTAATCAAAACACGATGCTGCGGTGATGTCATTCTTGATGGGGCGGGCGATACCAGCCTCGGTGAAGGAACGGGACTAAGAGAAAAATTATACACTATAATAATCTGCATTTGTATAAGAAAACGTTAATTATGAGCTTACCCAGCGCTGCTTGGACTGAAAGGATTCTCTTCCCCTTGAGAATGTGGAGTTCCGATTCGGGGTGAAGGTAATGGATGAGGTGACATTCCACTGTTTGAATTACCATGAGGCCCGGGACTCTGTAAACAAGACAGTCATCGTTAATTATGAATGATCAAGATAAAGTCAGGTTAAATAAGAAACAAACAATCCTCCTCACCTGCATAACAGAACCTACAGATCCAGAACCAGGACTCTGAACGTTGTGACCGGACATCATAGTACTATGACTAGGTGATTGCAGAGGCGAAGCAGGCGGAATTTGTTTCTGTTGTTGAAGCATTATGTTTGAGTGCTGGAATAAGACACAATAGAAAAGTAAGTAACAAACAAGACACATATAGCAAACATAATTATTATGTAAAATAAACTCTATGATCCTTACCTGTTGCATATGCTGTTGTTGCTGTTGCATCAATCCCGGAATTGGAACCGACATCGGCGACATTTGCTGATGTACCTGTTGCTGTTGATTATTCACCATCATACCGCCACTCATCACAATTCCTGCTTGCTGCTGTTGTTGTTGTTGCTGCTGCTGCTGCTGTTGTTGTCGAGCCTGCTGCTTATTGTGATACTCTTGAGCTAACATCCCATGCTGTCTGCTTTGTTCCTAGCCGACTCTAATTGTTTTTGCAGTATTGCTTGCTCAGCTGACACTCGAGCCAATTCATTGGCATCCGTTTCCGAAAGTTCGTTATTAGACTTGCGGAGTTGCCTTTGTTTACTATTTAAAGACTAGAAACGACGAAAACAACAATATAATCTTATATATAAAAATGAATCGTAAAATGTGTTGGTAAGCGCATAACTCAACAACGCCTGAACCAATTTGGCCAATTCTTTTTCTAAAATGTTCATTGAAGTCCAAGGATGGTTCTTACGGCGAGAAAAATTCGAATAATTGCCGGGAAAACCCTAAAAACAACTCTTTTTTTCACATACAAACGTTTTCTAACTAAAACGTGGAATCAATTTGAGCTTTAATTTGTTTATAATGCGTAAATAAATAAGATGAGAGGAAAACTGGTAGAACGAATATGTAGATAAATAAACAGGATGACAGCTTAATTGGTAGATATGAGATAAATTTGTAGGCCGGTAAAATGGTAGATTGATAAACAGGTCGATAGGTAAATTGGTAGACAGGTAAATTGATAGACATGTGAATTTGTAGACAAGTAAATTGGAGAAAAGGTAATTTGTTGGTGGTCAGGTAAATTGGATAATATGTAAAATGGTAGACAGGACATCTGGTAGATAGACAAATAACAAGACGGATAAACAGGTTGACAGGTAAATTGGTAGACATGTGAAACGGGTTGATAGGTAAATAGGTTGACAGGTAAATTCGTAAGTCGGTAAAATGGTAGATTGATTAACAAGTTTATAGATAAATTGGTACACAAATTGTTGAACAGATAGTAGTAACGTTAAACTAAATTTAACAAATACACATCTTTGTTTAACTTTTTAATTTAAAGTAAATCACGGCAAAGCGTGAACGGGTACAGCTAGTATATAATACAATCATCAAATTCCATCTCAACTAAACTAACCTTTCTGATCTTTCTCAATTTCTGCACCTCTGTTTCGTAATATCGCAACTGTTCAGCAAGCGCATGCTGCTGCTGTGCTAACCATTGCTCGTACTGGTGCTGCGTCGCCCGATCCTGATCCGTCACAATTCTCTCAGGCGGTTGCGGTGGAGCAGGAAGCGCAGGCATTTGGAACGGGGGCACACGCCCTGGTGTCACACCTGGCGTTGTGGGAGTTTGAGGAGAAGGCTGCTGCTGTTGCTGTTGTTGTTGCTATTGAAATCAATTGACAGTATTGACAATAAATAACTAAGATAAACACTAGATATACTACGCCAGTCAAAATGACTGGTTGGGCACTTTCAATTCAAAATTCCCATTATATGTAAAATTTGTTTGTGAAATGAAGTTACGACTTTTTAAGTTATAACTATAGAAAACATTTTGTGCATTCAAAGTTACTTTATGTATATTAGTAACAAAAATAAATATAGAAAATGTTTGATAAGAGAACCCAAATAACAATAGCCATAGATCGTATGGGTTTATCGCCTACTCTCTTATCGACGACAATATATATTATTTATTCTTTATTCTTTTTTACATTGTAAAAATGCAGATTGCTGAAGTATTACTAGATTTTTACCAACAAAACAATTGTTTCGAGCTTCGTTCAACACACTAAATAAAATTTTATTCAAAGTAATTTTCAAGTATAATTATTTATTCTTTTTGTACACTGATACAAGTAAGTAACATTCGCGTGGACACAGAAATTTTCAAAAATATATTCTTGAGTAAAAAAAAACTATAAACGAGAAAACTGCCATGGTTTCGACTTATTTTTATAGCGACTGTCAGTCTTCGAAAAAAGAATGGAATCAATGTTTTTTTAGCTTGTTTGGAAAATACAATCAGCGGATCTCTGAAATGTTTAGACCTAGGATTTGAAATATATGATAGTGAGGGTGAATTTTTAGATAAACAAATCAATCCACAAGACAGTGCTATTATCGACTGTAGAAATAGGAAAATTTCGTGATAAAGACAATACAGATGGATCAAGTACGTTAGTAAATGGATAGATATCACAAACAAACGTATGAGATGATGCGAGCCATTTTCTTCCAATTCTGAAGACGAATTTGGAAGTAATGCACCAAATCAGGAAACTAAAATTGGTTGGACGAAACTTTTTGGACAAGACTTGTAGTAAAGTGAAATAGGTTTTGCAGGTAGATTAGAAGTTCAAAGAGCTTTCAGACACATACTCAGGCCAAATTTATAGAAAAAAAGCCCGCGTTTGGTACAAATTATAGAATATAGCAAAAATTGCTTCAAACCGGGAGCTCATATCACTTTGTTTGAATAACATTTTCCAACAAAGGCCAGAAGCATAGTTAGCCAGTAATGGCCAAAGAAACTATAAATTTACATAAAATTCTGTCTGACATCTGATGTAGAAACAAAATATATGGTAAATAAATGGTTGCCCGTATTTAGCGAAAAACGAAGAATCAACCCCTCTAAGCGAATTTGTAGTAATGAAAATTTTTGAAACATATACCGTGAAAGGTATAAACGCAATAACCGATACTATTTTTATAATTATTCATATGGCACTGAAATTAAAATCTAAAAACGTGTCGGTAGCTGCAATTTTACGCGCAAACAAGTGGGTGCTGCCGGACACTTTTATTGAGTATTGTGCTAAAGTACTGTAAAAACTATTAAAAATTAATATATTTTGTTATTTGATAATATCTATAAGTTTATTTAACAGCTGTAATTAGTTTTGTTCAACTTAAAAACACAATAAATTTGTTTTCTTAGAGACCAGTCGTTTTGACTGGTATTGGTAGAAATAGGTATATACAAACGGCTGGTATATCTAGGAAATCGAAATATGTATATATATATATATATATATATATATATATATATATATAAAAGTATAAAATACTTGCCATAGTGCCTCCTGTTGTCAATTGCCCAGGTCTCTGGATTTGACCAGGCTGAGTCCACTGTCCTTGTGTAACCACGCCTTGTCTTTGAAAAACTCTTGTAATCTGACCCCCAGTTTGCAGCGGTAGAAGTCCTTGAGCTATTAAACAGTATCAACGTATTACACACATTACAAAATCAATTACCATCAACTGATGATCCCTATCATATTACCTGGTACTCCTTGAGGAGGCGAAGGTACAGCCGCCCTGTTGCCAGCAGCGCCGCCAGACAACACATCGGCCTTCAGTCTTTCGAAATCTTGCTCCGAAAGCAAAGGGTGTCCCTGCTGCTGCTGCTGCTGCTGCTGATCTACCGACGGCGTGTGCTGCAGCTGCTCTCGCTTCTCCTGCTCCAGTAGCTCTTCCAGCAGCAGTGGCTGCTCCTGCGAAGTGCCGTGCTGCGAGGGATTAGTGCGATTGATGGTAATAATGGATATATGAAATATGCTCGGAACTGATTGTGAAGGGGAAAAAGATTCTGATTTGGCCCTAAGACGGAATTGCTTTGAAGTCATAAATGCGTTTAAAATCAAATACTATTTTTATATAAATCATATTCATGAGGTGACACTTTTATAAATAAGTATTACGTATAAAGTTGGTTCCGATTCTTTTGTCGAAGCTCAGATAACTAATGTGGAAAGTGTGCAGTAAAATAAATAAAGAATATTAATTTAGCAGACGGCGAAGTAAAAGATTTTCGGCCTGACCAAGAAACATCAGAACTAGGTTTACATTGGAAAAGAACAACCAACTCGAAAGAAAGCAAAAATAATTTTATGCAAACAAGGTTAAGGCTAATGTTTTTTTGGTTTAGGAATTATATACATTGATTACATTTCAAAGGGTTAAACAGCAACTGCTCAATACCATGCTAAAATTTTGCAACCTTTAAAGGGGTGCGAATTAAAGGCGAGGAAGATATAGTTTCATTGCTATGGCACACCAGTAACTGTTGTGATGGATAAAATCCAAGAATTGAAGTACGAATTGATAACCCATTATTCTACGTTTAAAAAATGGGTGTGTGGTAAACGATTTGAGAACAATTAAGAAATGACTGAAGCTGAAAATCAGTATTTTGAAGAACTTGTAGCCTTAATGTAAACTACGTTGAGAAATAAAGGTCAGACCGGAAACTTTTTACTCAGACCTGGTATAAATAATAAACATATAAAATTAATATTAATTTTGTGAAAATATTACTCTTATAAATTTTGTAGTGCTTGAAAACCAAACATCATATGTGCAAAAAGAAATCAAACTGAGATTACATTCTGACATGCCAAAATATCATGCAATAAAAAACCTACCCTTCATAAAATCATGCTTAAAAACTTGCTGAAAGTAATTAATACATAAGTAAATACGTTACAGAAACTCCATGCAAAAAATACTCGTAGAACAATTTATAACAAATAATGGATTGATTAAAATCGAATTAAAATTGATTTATAAAATTTATTAAAGAATTTTAGAAAGCGTTATTTCTGGCAAAATACTGAATATTTTGTTTGTTACCACAGTCACATACTATTACTTATAGACAACACCAAGATAAATAGATTTAGAGACAGAATATTTTTTTTTGCTCTTTACTACAAGTATGAAAAGGCAACTGAAATTTCATTCAAGAAACGCCTCGTGTGTATTGCCATTTGTCTGTGTTACTATTAGTACATTTTGCTGAAAAACAACGTAAATCATTAAATCAATTTACCCTGCAGTCGACTACAAATAACAGCATGAAACGTATTTTTTAAAATAATTATCATTTATCCCTTAGATTGTTATTATCTGGAGCATCAGGGCGTTCTCGCGCGTTTTTACCTGCAACAATAGAGGCGGACGCCTGCGCTGCTCCACGATTTGCTGCTGCTGAAACGGCTGTTGCTGTTGCTGCTGCTGTTGATTAGCATTGATTCCGAATCGCTGTTGTTGTTGTTGATGATGATAGGAAGCGTTGATGTTGATGTTTCCGGTGTTGTTGTTGTTTGATAGATGGTAAATTGGACGATTGTGAGTCGAAGAAGAAGAAGGATGTGGTAGCATACCGACACCGATCTAAATTACCAAACACCAAAAAGAGATACCAAAAAAAGGAAAACAAACGAAAAACATAAGACCGAGTAAAATGTAGATCGTCATATGTGTGTACGAGGCGTTAATGGAAATTACATGAGGTAGGTAATGTAAAATGGTTTTAAAAAATATATAGCAGCAATATTTTTCGAAGAAAAAGTCGTATGGCCTGGATATATAAATCTTCACCATATTTAATACTTCAATTTGTAAACTTATAGTAACGTTCTATTTTCATAAATACGACTAATATAAACGATAAATTAACAAACAGAACCTCAAGTTGATGGATTTATGATAAATTCGCATGATGATAGAGTTAATAGTCGAAACCAAAATCCTAAAATATAGAATAGACCAATCAAAACAACAGACCAGTAATCTTGAGGTTCTCCTTGTATTATGAAAATAATAAATAATAATTTTTTGCGAAAATAATGGATAATGTACTTGGTAATGAAATACCCCGTCACACCTTAGAAAAATACGCATGCACCTTATAATTTTATATATAATTTATTATAATATATAATTTAATCAATGAATTATAATTAAAGCAGATCAGAAACACAAAACCCATGCAAATTATCAATTATAATCCGTGACACACAACAATTATGAAATTCGATAAATATATTTAACTCCTTTCAACAATTTTTAACGACAAAATCAAAAACATCAAATCATCTTTGTTTGTAAAAAACTTCAATCAGAAAAATCCACAAATCTTGCATACACGATAATAAAACTGATTTTTAAGTGGTGGTGTAAGTGGTAAAAAAATTACCTTCAATGTCAAAATAAACAGAAAAACAATGCAGTAAATGAAGTCTGCATATAAATACAAAATTTATTAATAAATATATAAGGATAAATTCAATTTTCAACTCTTGCAAAATAGGCTTAAATTCAATTTGGAATCCTTCGTTTCACATAAGTCCATTAAGGGGGTATTCTAGTGTAGAAATTCAAAAAAATCGATTTTTTTTATTTCATATTTTTAATGTTTAACTATCTAAGAAAATTTGAATCATTTTCAGAGATATAGGCATTTTACTAACTCGGTCTCCATACTGGTTTGGCTTCACGCAAAACTTTAAATGCGTTACTTTTTCAGTACTCTTGTCACGATTTCTGGAGTTCTACTCGACCAATTTATTTGAAATTTTCAGAGAGTCTTATTTATAGATCTATCTATAGTCTGAACTAGAATCATCCCGAAATTCCTATTTTTACTATTTTTAAAAAAATCGAGAAACTCAAAGAAACAGTAAAAAAAACCTTTTTTTTCAAACAGTCGCCAATTTGCGAAAAAAATTTTTTGTATACTCATCGCTAGTTCAGCCGATTGCGACATCATGGTAGATTAATAATCTTTTTATTTTTTGCATTTCCAATGGCTAGGAGGGCTGAAATCATGTCAAGACTGAGGTGCCAATTTTTTGAGACCACCCACTTCATCAGCTGCCACTTTTTACAATTTTCAACTTTTTTATTATTTAATTTTTGTTTTGTATTTGAATAATATTAATAAACAAGTGGTAAAAAATGGATAGTAAAAACATTCATTGCTTTCTTTTACGACACTTTAAAAATGACCTAAAATTCATCGCTCTACACTAGAATGCCCCTTAATTTGTTATTTATTACACAACCACTCATTTTTCAATCTCAATAGACAAACACACATAGCTCGAAATATAAAATATGCACTCAATCAAACATCAATTAATAAAAACAACCAAATTTGTTATTTTTGTTACAACTGACCTGTGATTGAATGGGTCCTGGATACGGCGGCGGCGGTCCTGGATAAGGAGGCGGCGGCGGCGGCGGCTGCAGCCTGACCTGCTGCTGCTGCTGCTATGACTGGTGTTTGTGCCTGCTGCTGCTGCTGAGGCTGCTGCATACGTTGCTGAGCCAGACGCATTTGCATGCGCTGTTGTTGCACTGACAGAATCGAAAACATAGAAATAATTCAATGTGCTATATTTACTAAACAATATTTTCAATTTACCATGTCTCTGCTGCTGAGCATAAAATCCTGCCTGGGGATAGCTGATTGTCACTGTATTATTATCGGTTACAACGCCCACAGCACCATCCGGAGACATCAGACGAGTACCTGGTGCCATCGGATTACCCATAGCCGCAGCTTGCTGAACCTTAAATTAAACATTGCGTCAAAAACACATTGCATACAATTTTTATCATTTTCCTATCTTACCTGATGCAGCATTTGTTGCTGTATGTGCTGCTGTTGTTGCAAAGAAGGAAGTTGCATGATTTGCTGTTTAGGTGTCACCAATCTCATCTGTTGACCAATCAACTGTGGTTGCACTTGCTGCTGTTGAGGCTGTTGCTGTTGTTGCTGTTGAGATAATTGTTGCTGTTGTTGATGTACGAATTGTTGTTGGAGTTGTTGCTGCTGAAAAAATATTGATACAAGATAAATAAAAATATATACACAACTATAAAAAATAAAAACAGTTTGATACTTACTACAAGTCCAGGTTGTTGTTGAATTTGCATAGATGTGACAGGAACCTGTGAAACCGTTTCCGGTGGTAGATCTTTTTTGATGCTTTTCTCAATAGCTCTTATTTTAGTTTCTTTGGTTTTAGCTTCAGATTTTTCAATGCTTAAACAAATAATCACTCTTGAAAATTACTGAGAACAAGATGCGGATGCTGTAAATATAACTTTTAGCCTGTTTTACCTTTCTTCCTCAGGTTCACGTTTTGCATGTTGCCTTTCCTGGTCTGGATCTGGCTCATCAAGCACTAAACTATCTAAAATGTTATCTTTGACACCATCTGTCAAGCCGTCTAACTCAGGATCTGCATATTCTAATATGTTGAAGTCTGCACCCATCTCAGCAGTCAAAGATACTAGGAAAAGAAAAAGTTATTTAATATAATGTAAAAAAAATATTCCAATTATTATTTTATTACCTAATAATTCATCATCATCATCATCTCCCAAACCGCCTAATAATTCTCCTACTCCTTCTTCGACCTCAGCCATTCCTCCGTGTTCTTGTTCCAATCTATCCAACTCTGCTTTCACACTATCAGGTATTTCTTGACCACCGGCAGTTGCTGGCCCAGCCACAGGAGACGGTTGTGCAGATGCAGAACTCGTACTCGTTTTTGCAGCAGTTGTTACCGCTGGAGACATAGGCATTGGCTGCTGCTGCTGCTGTTGCTCCAGAGTTGGAGTAGCAGGTGCTGACGATGGTGATGGTATAGTAGCACCAGTGGTAAGGGTCATTTGTGGACTTGCTGCAGAGGAAACAAATATGAATAGAGTGTTATTTGTGTAACTAACTAATATTTACTGATAGTTTGCTCTTACAAGCACTACGATTAATTTGTGGAATTCCAACTGCTCCCATCCTATTTAAAGCAGCAATCCTTTGCTGGAGTGCAGGATCTTGCTGTTGTTGTTGCTGTTGTCCTTGAAACTGCATTCTTTGTTGAGGCATAAATTGTTGCTGTTGCAATACTTGTCTCGGTTGATTCTGAAAATATATAAATTTATTTTACAATGTCTAAAGTAAAGGCACAATTTTACATTATAATTTATGTACCACTAGTCCAGGTTGTTGTAGTGCTATTCTTGGCATACCAGATTGTTGCTGGATTAAAATCTGTCTTGCTTGTTGCATCTACAAAGAAAACGCAATTTCAAATAAAAAAAAAATTAGACCAATAAAAATTAATATCTATCGTACCTGTTGAACTGGATGTCTAACACCAACAATATTTCCAGTTCCCTGTATCTGCTGTTGTTGCAAAGCCTTTCCCGTAGCTAAAGGTCCCCTAGGGCCTCTCATCATAATGCTACCTGGAGGAAGTGGTTGTCTAAACGTTCCATCAACTGAAGCAGGAGACACCGGAGCATTAGGTGATTGTAGATGCTGTTGTTGCTGTTGGACATCTCCCGTTGAGATTATTTCTTGATTTACTGTTTGTTGTTGCTGCTGAGGATCTAAAGATAAAATAGAATAATAATTTTAGTTATACCTAAGTATATATTAATATTATGTACCTTGCTGCTGTGGTGACCACAATCTCTGCTGTCCAGGACTATGCTGTTTCTGTAAGAGATCTCTCAGCTGTCTGTTAACTTCTACGTTGGCACTTGATGATGTCACGTTTTGCTGCTGCTGGAAATGGTCCTGTTGCTGTTGCTGCTGTGGTTGCATTGCCATTCTAGGCATTGCATACACATGATGCTTGAGAGGCTGATTTGCGTTAAATTGTGGACGAGGCGTGCCTGGAGCCTGGCTATAACCTTTAAAAAATAAAACAGATTGTTAACTGCTCGAAACTGGACTGTTATATATATATATATATATATATATATATATATATATTTATATATATATATATATATATATATATATTCTTACCTTGAAGAAATAGTTGCTGCTGTTGATGTGGCACAGGACTTCTTTGTTGTTGTTGGGGGCTTTGCCCAGCTGCAAACATTCTAGGTGATTTGGTAAACAAGTTTCCATCTTGATCCATACTTGTTGAGTTTGCTGGTGAAACAGCGCCTGAAACAAACTCAGCACCTGTCTGAACAGGAGACCTTGCTGTAATGCCAAGAACTGTGGGTCGTGGATACTGTCCAGTGCTTGTGACTGCATTGGGGCTCTGTGGTGTCCGAACTAAAACATAATATAATATAAATAAACATAATATGTAGTTGAATTGTCGTATAACTTCCAGATTATTTAACATACCTCCGACAGCTATCCCTGATGACACTGGCATAAACTGTTGCTGGCGCATCTGCAACGTCGGCGATTGACTGTTGATGATTTGCTGCTGCTGCATCATATGCTGTTGCTGATCGTTTTGTTGCAGCTGCCCGCCTGGAGACACTAATAATGCTGCTGTATGATCGCCTACTGGCGAAGCAGCTTGCTGCTGCGGCTGGAATAATTGCTGATGCGGCTGTGGAGTCGCACTACCATCAGACATCTGGCGCTGGACTCGCACCATAGCTAGAATAGAATGATAAATTCAGAGATGGTTTATATTTTAATAACATTTTGGTGACTGATTATAGAATTTTAGTAATATTTCATATTTGTGTTGACTTACGAGCACCGATACCTTGCTGTCTTTGATCTTGTATAACCTGCTGCTGTTGCTGCGCTTGCTGCTGCCTTTGGGCCTGCAGCAATTTCCACTGGCGCTCCTGCTCAGCTTCTCTGGCACTTTTTTGCTGAGATGTCAACTTGTCCTGATCCTATATTATATGTAGAATTCCTTAATTTATTTATAGTTGATTAAAGCAAAAGTACTGATTAATCATACAAAATAAATATATAAAACATTTAAAATGAGATATCTACATAACTATAAATATAAATTAATTCCAGATGAAGCTAATGATATATTTTATTATTATCCGTTTGTAAAAATTTGGATGTAAAAATAATAATTTTGATAAGAACATTATATAGTAATTACATAATTATACAATCGATTCATTAATAGTAAAAAGTTTTTAATTATTTTGGATATAATTATAAAGTATTACATGCTATAAATCAACATATGACATTTTGAAAGCACATTGAAAGCAGATATTTTGTGCCTAAAACAAATGTTTAGTTAGTTAAATTTTTATACATGCAACCATGCTTGAATTATCCAGAAGGGTGAAAAAAGGATTCAAGGTCTATCAGGAACATGCTTTTTGGGATGCAAGACATTTGGGAAACAGCAAAAATACATTAGAAATTCGTATTTATAAAAAATAATAATAATAAAGATTTTGTTTTATACACAGATATCAATCGTAGCTGATGATGTATACGTATGTAACTAATTTGCATATTTGTACATAAATACGCAATAAACACACATTTCACACTGTACCTTAGAAAAAAAACGTAAATAGCATGAATAATTATTTCATATTATTTGAAAGAAAAAAGAAAAACAAAACTAAGATAAATACGATACAAAATCAAGGAAAACTTTTTGTTTAGTACGAGACTTATCGGTAAAGAATTGATTTTTCAGGTGCTTAAAAAGGAATGTGATAACAACAAAGTGTTGATGAAAAAATTGATTAAAATCCAAAAGGCTTATTTATTGCTAGGAAATAGATAGACAACCCGAATTTTACAACGTTATGTAAAGAAACCGATCTCCACTAAAGTCTCGTACGATTTTTAGGAAAGTCAACGTAAACATTGCATAAATAAAATGATTTAGTGAAAATAAAATAGCTGCTAAACTCGACAAAGGTCCCTCTACGAAACTAAAACACACACAATAATAAGAACGATGCGAGCGAGCTCAGATATAAGATAATTAATTTATAAAAACAAAAGACAGAATGATCAAAAAATCATCTATTATCAGGCGTTCTGATGCCCTCACCGTTGCTGCCTGCGAAGGCGTAGGCGAAGGCGAAGGCGAAGGCAAAGCGTTGGCCGTAGGAGTTCCCGCCGCCGCCGCCGTCGCCGCCTGGTTGTTGTTCTGTTGCGGGCAATCGTACTCGTCTAAATTCGGCAAAGTCCGCATTATTTCCGAGGGAGTCAGCACACGAATCTGCTGATCGTTGCCGCCCACTTCCGACGGAATGGCAACGGTCGTTTTGACATTGGCAACAGTCGTTTTAATCGGTATTTTATTTTTGGCCGCGTACTGAGCTAAACTGATGACCGGCTGAAAGGTCGGACGCAGCATCGATTGGAACTGAAGGTGCGTTATCGTTTGCGTCTGATGCTGATTGTGATGCTGATGCTGCGTCTGCTGGTGCAGGCTTTGTCTCAACGAACTGGTCGTCGGATTGAAGTTACCGTTGGGGTTTACCGTCACATTCGGAGCGGGGCCCGAATGATTGCCGATCACCGAATGCAACAGAGGATACTGAGTGTGATAGGTATGATGGTGGACCGTGAAAGGCGCGCCGGTCTGGCTCAAATTTTTGTTGACCAGAGGAATCGATTTGATTTGAATGTTTTGCAAAATCGTATTGACGCGTTCGTTAATACTCGGGTCGACCGAAATCGTCTTACGCGGTTGCTGTTGTTGCTGTTGCTGTATGACAATTACAGGACTGGTGTTAGTGGATGCTACTGATGAACTACTGTCACCGGTGTTAGAGACACAAATAGTATCTGAGGTAGTTGTTGTGACGGTGTTAGATGAAAATGATGAGTTTATTAGTGCTTTATTACTACTACAACTACTATCGGTATTAGTTGGGCAATCTTTTTTATCGGACTGGTTAGATACATCTACGGTATGATCGTTGTTAGAGTTAACAACAGTCGCAGCGGTAGTAGTGTTAGTAGTGGTAGTTTCGGCAGTCGTCTTTGACGGGATTTTTGCAAAATCCGTTTCGTCGACGCTCTTATCGTCATCGTCAGGCACCTCGACTTGTTGTTGCAGATGAATCTGCTGCTGCTGCTGTGTTGTTGTTGCTGTTGCAGCACCTGCTGTTGCTGCTGAATCTTTTGCTGCTGCTGCTGCAGTTGCTGGGCTGCGACCGCTCCGGTCACGTTGGCCGAGGAGGAGGATGAAGACGGCGTCGGTGATTGTATAGGATTTTCCTTCGGTATCTGTAGTCGATTCGTCAGCGAGAAAACAAACAAAAACACACATGGGGTAAAGTGCGTACGCTCAATCGGAGAAAGGATAAATAACGGGGCTCTAGAACTGACCTAATCATATTCTTAAGGGTGGAAGACAAAAATTCTGCATACATAGGTCGATAGAGTTACTTATTACTTATGGTTAAAGAAATCATCCAAATTTTGCTCACAAGGAAACTTCCAGTATACTCTTCTAGGATTTGAATGAAACTTCTCACGGTGATGAAGTTAATAGTCAAACTACATCTCATAGGACTATAATATTTTAAGATGGTCGATTCGAATATCAACTCTACCGCCATGCAAAGTTTCATCAAAATTCAAAATGAATAAACCTGAAGATCTCCTTGTCAGTGATGATTTGATAACAATATCAGCTAATTCATTGTTGTTCTTTACAATCATATCGATCTATGTATCGCAAATGGCTAAAAGTGTTTGAACTATCAATCTAGTGAATAGAATCTACAAAATTTCAATTGACAAAAAGCTGAAAAAATCTGATCTGATTACATACATACACGCGCACTCACACACAACTATAGATTTCAGCGGTATGGTGTTTGCTTAGCAAGACGAAACAAGCTGTGCATGTGTAGTATAATAAATATTTTGCAAATATTTAGCCAAAATCATATTTTGGGATCTGTATAATCGCGTCCAATTGCCATCATATAGGATTTTGTGGTGTGTACGAATCTGATATCGACATATATGTAAAAGTCATGCAAGGTAAGCTATAGTTCGCTCGCTTTCAAACAAAACAGCACCAAATCGCTTTGAAAATATAGATAAATAAAATCATCGATATATATAATTGTTTAATTTATAAGGAAATGATATATAAACGGAGGAAAAAATTCAATCAAATCTGCAGCCTCAAAAAGCGTCAATTTGTGATTCCAGTTCATAATTTCATTGAATTAAATTACCAAAAATTAATTAAGCTTATTCAGGATGGCAGATTTGATTTTTTTTCCATTTTTTCCATAAGTATAAATGCAATGAATGAAAACGAAAGCGTATGATGATACACAAACAATAAGTATAACAAATTTGTTCCTTTATGTACATATGGTAAGCTAACACAAAATTTTAACAGAAAAAAACCCTCGAGTTTCTGCAATAACCCATTTGTTAAATAATGACACGATGCAATAAATGTTTACAATTATTGTATTAGTCACAATATCATTCATTTTCTTAATCAATATAATAAATCTAATGAATCTATCACTTGATCGAGAAAAAAACTTATTATAATTAATCAGACGAGCCAAATGGCGGAAATAATAAGCAATAAATATCTATTTAAATAACTTTTCAAGAATATGTTTCGACGTCGAAAAAAAAACTAAAATTATATATATATATATATATATATAATATAAATATGAAAGTGTATAAAATTAAACTAAATCTTTGAAATAAAAAAATTGTTAAGTAATATGTGAATTTGTTTGTGAATTAATTAATAATATAATAGTATTTATTAAAAATCATAAATAACAAACTTACTTGTTGGGCTTTCTTCATTCTAAGAGCACTCCTGTTGTCCCTTGCCTTTTGCAAGTACGGAGTTTTGGCTTCGGTTGTTAAAGCCCTCCACTTCTTCAAAATCTGCTTGCATCTGTCCTGCCATTGCGGATATTCAGTTTTCCATTCAGGATGGTTTATATTGGCGTACAGAACCATCGATATCGTCGAACCAGTACCCAAATCTACATAAAAAATTAAACAATTTAAAAAAAAACAATAAGAACAAATGTGAATAGAATAAGTTTATTAACTGACCTTCATCGATTTTCATTTTTTCCGACGTTTTCTGATTATAGCTGGTCGGTGGTGGTACTACAGGTCTCATTTCCTCAGTCGGGGTTGAATCTGTTGATGATACAGAACCCATCCACTGGTCTTGTTGCTGCTGCTGTTGTGAATCAGCAAAACCTGATGAAAATTGATTTCTAAAACAAAACAGAAAATTGTTAGATTAAATATCATAGCATATTCAATTTTATTCCAATATTTTCAAATCATTTTACCCGGTATAGTTTGCTTGATATGTTTGGCCAAAGTTTATTTGCCCGGATAAGTTAGGTCTTTGTGTGTTAGTTATTCCCATTGAACCAGGATTTAGTTGCTGATTGGCTATCATGCCTGTGTCATATTGCTGATGCACTGCAGCAGGTGTGTTGCGCACCATAGGAAATACAGCTGATTCTTGAGATTCCTGCAAAATATAATTAGAGAGTTAAGTAATCTCTTCAATGAATCATTGTTAAAGCTTTTGTTTAGTTAATTTACCTGAGATTCATCTGTCAAAACGCCTTTGAAAATCTCTTCTACATCTTTACTATCCATATTTGGTAAAGTATCTCTTACAATGCTGTCTATATTAAAATCTTGTCCCAAAATATCACCAATTTCATCTTTTGGAGCAACCACGGCACCTATAAATAATAATAATAAATAATATATATATATATATATATATATATATATAATTGTTTTTTACCTTGTGAGCTGGTCGTTTCGTCAGTAATATTCTGCTCATTCAAAGATGTCTTTGTCAACTCTTCATCATCACATTTCATAAGCGTCTTCACTAGATCATTATCCAATAGTTCTGAAGGAAGTGTTAAGACATCTTTCAAGTTTTCAGTGTCATTATTTTCGGCATCATCTATCACTTCAGCTTTAGTCATATGTAATACATTATTAGCATTAATAGCACCTGAATTTGGTACTTTGTTTTCGCTTTTCAGGTGCAAGTTTTGGTTATCTTCTAATTTTAAGATTGGCTTCGGGGCATCAATTAGTTCTTGCTTGATTTTTACTGCTTCCATTGCCTTTAACTCATCCTGATTAAAAGGATAATTGGCACATTAGCATCAATATGTGAACACTCATGATATAAAAGGGTAAATAATATAATCACCTGTGATAACTGGATTGTTTTATCATCATTTTGCACTAAATCATCTTCAGCACCACTGCTGCTGCTTCCCAAATCTTTATCTTTGCTAATATCAAGCAAATCTCGTCCAAAAAATGCTTCCTAAAGATATAAAAATTAAGTTTCAATATAACTGTTGGGGCTCAATTAATTCATCTTTAAATTTAAAGTCTGTGACCTGTAAATAACTAGGATAGCTTTCCATTAATCGACTTTTCGGTTTCCGTCTCGCCGGTCTACGTTTCGGTTTGGCTGGATCACCATTTTGACCAGCAGCTTGTTCTGGTGCAGCTGCCTGATCAGCAGGAGCAGCTTGGGGGTCTTCTTCGTCTTTCGAACCGCCTGAACCGCGAACTCCGCGGGCTCTTACTAGAAATCCACCGATACCTAAGAAAAATAAATAAAAAATATTAGCCATGTGCCCTGATCTACCCTGTATTAAATCAATTATTTAGGCAATATTTCCCATACCCAATTTCTGCAAATTTCTTCTACACTGCCTCTTCCTTCGGAGTAACATAACTCCACTTTCAGTTGTAACAATTGTGAAGCCTTCAGGAGGCCCACTAACATCCTTAGCATTCCATATCATGCCGTCCCTATACAATACTTCCTCCTGATTATCTTGTTGCTCCTGTTTCAGCTCCTGCTTGATATCTTCAAGGGAATTGTCCAGACTACCACCGGCTACAACGGATTCAATTGTTGCCAAAATTCCTTAAGAAAAGACACACAAAATTATCAAAAGAATAGTAACAAATATTACTTAACTATCTTAATTCATTACCTGCATCTTTATCTTTGAGTGATGTAAACGACGACATATGCTTCAACTTCCTTCGTCTTCTGCCTGCAGAATCCAATAACATCTGGTCATCAGATATTGCCCGTATGTGTAACATACCGGCTCTGCTCAGGCATACTCCATCAACAATGTACACTGCACATAAATACAATAAAGTTATTAGTCAAATTTGCATTATTTGCAAATAATAATTATTTCAGTTCTTTATTTACCTCCATTAGTTTGTTGAACCGGTTCTGGGCTTGGAGGTGGTTCAATTGCTGCACGAGGCACAGGTGGCTTTGGTGTAAGATGTGGAGGAGGCACGTCCTTGGGGCGACATAAGATACAACTATAGCCTGAAAAATAAAACATCAAACTTGTCACTAAACATATCAATGTAATAAAACTATCAGATATAATGTGATATGCTGATATTCTTTACCTTTATCAGCACAAATTTCTGCATCAGCTTCATTGGCAATTCCATCACAAAAACCGTGAAGCCATCTTTCACATTGAACACATTGTATGATCAATTCATTATCTATATAAGCTTCCATGCAAACTGGACAAGTAGATCGTGATCCACAAGGTCCACATTCTATAAAAAAAAATGTTTCAAATAAGAAAAGTAAAATGAATCTGAAATTTGATAAATATTCACAGATAGTTTGAAACATTCTCAGTCAGATTACAACATTTTGAGACGGTCTACAATATTTTCAGACAATCTGGAGCGTTTGCAGACAAACTACATTGGTTTTTAGACAGTTTTGAACATTTTCAGACTATTTACAACATTTTCAGATAATTTACAACGTTTTTAGTCCATCTACAACAATTTCACACAATATACAACGTTTACAGATAGTTTGAAACATTCTCAGTCAGATTACAACATTTTGAGACGGTCTACAACATTTTCAGACAATCTGGAGCATTTGCAGACAAACTACATTGGTTTTTAGACAGTTTTGAACATTTTCAGACTATTTACAACATTTTCAGATAATTTACAACGTTTTAGTCCATCTACAACAATTTCACACAATATACAACGTTTACAGATAGTTTGAAACATTCTCAGTCAGATTACAACATTTTGAGACAGTCTACAACATTTTCAGGTGATCTGGAACGTTTGCAAACAAACTACAACAGTTTTAAGACAGTTTAAACCATTTTCACACAATCTGCAACAATTTCAGGCAATTTACAGCCTCTTTAGACAACCGACGTTTTCAGACACTCTAAACATTTTAAACATTCCACAACATTTTCATAAAATTTACAACATTTTAGACAAACTATAAAGTTTTCAGACAATTTAAACCATTCTCAAACATTTTACAAGTTGCATTAAAAGTTTTGAAGATATATTACATTTATAAGCTTACCTGTAAAGCTATTTAACCAAGTACAATTAAATCCAGGATCATTGGCTCCACAAGTAAGACAAAGAGCACACCACTTGCACTTCCAATTGCCATCAGGAACATAATCAAGCGGTGGATCCATACAATATATGTGATAAGATATATCACAATCATCGCATAGAATTAACCGGGGCTCATCATTGCGTTCACCACAGCCTTCACATACAGTGCAATCTAGACAACGCCAACCTTTTTGTATAATCACTTTTGTAACCTGAGAAAAAAACGAAAATATAAATTAAAGCCATGTAACATTAATAATATGTCTTCTATGTTTTACCTTAACGTTGACACAGTAAGGATGATAACATTGTCCACATTGGGCGCATGCTATCAGACATCCTTCTTGGTCGGTCCCTAGTGCACCACACATTACACATACGTCTTGCGTTAGCACAAACTTATCTTTGGCACTAACCAGGACTAATTTATTTTCCCCACCAGGTTCGTCATCACTTGTACCAGCTTGATTCCCAGTGTTTCCACCAGTGGCTGAAGCACTAGTGGGATTTCCTAATGGCCTTTGTAAACCCAAACCAGGTACCTACAGAGTGCATAAAATATTAAAATAATAGTGTATTTGAATTCTTTTAAATATGAATCGTAAAATAATTTACTAACCCCAAACACTCCGCGCATTTTTGTTTTCGCATTAGCTCTTTTCTTTGGCCAAAGTCAAATGATCTTCTTTTGTGATGAAATATCCTGTATTAGCATATTTTCCTGCTAGAACTGCACTGGATCCTTTTCCAAAACCTTTGGGGCGTCCTATGCCTCCATAAACGTAACCACCGCTTCCATATCCCATTCGTTTTCGGGCTATTTTACTAGCATAAGGTTTTCCTTTCCCAAGACCATAATCCTGAAAAAAGATAAAAACTAGTTGGTTTGGTATTTAGCCTTGAGGCAAGTTACATGAACTTCCCGATATGTTTAAATAATCGACTTAATCAATAAAAAATAAATTAATTTATGAGTTATTAAAAGTTTTCCGAGTGGATTTATTACACATAATTGAAAACGAACGAACACTTTTTGACTCGGAGTATTTTCTAAAAGCAAATTTTCAAAAATCAATAATTTTTATAATTGAACCAGTTTCTAGGACTTTAATAGTTTATTATGTTCAAGACTAAGTACTCTATCATTATACCAAGTAAATAGTCTAATTTTTATTTTAACAAATGTCAAAAGAGCTACTCATTTTCTCAAACTTTGATGAATTTTTAAAATCAAACTATTTGTCGTAAGGCCGTAATATTTCAGTAAGTTCTATAAGACCATGGTAAATGTCGCTAAAAAAAATTCCATAAAAATCGGCTTAAGTTTTTTTTTCAACAGTTAATTACAAGAAAACGGCTCGGTAGATTTTCACCTAAAACTAATCAGTATCATTCCCAACCAATATCTTTCGAACAGTTTTTGATTTTTTAAAATCGGTTCGGTAGGATGAGCTTAAATGTGGACGAAAAGTTTAACACTTTTTTTCAAATAACAAAGAAACGGCTTGACAGATCGTCGCACAAAATTGACAAACGATAGTCATCACTGAGATACATTTAAAGGCTTTTAAATTTCTGAAATCGGTTCAGGCGTTTTTGAGAAAACGTCGATCAAAAGTCTAATTTTGACAAATGTCAAAAAAACGATACCAATTTTTGCAAACTTTGACGAATTTTTAAAGCTAAACGAGTTGTCGTAGGGTACATTGGTATCTACCGTCAAAAAAAAAATCATAAAATTCGTCGAAATTTTTTTTTAAAAACTTTATTACAAGAAAACGGCCCGGCCGATCTCTACCAAAAACTAATCAGCACGATTCCCAACCAATATCTATCGAATGGTTTTTGAATTTTCAGAATCGATTCAGAATTGCGGGCTAAAACGTGGACGAAAATTTTTTCACTTTTCTGCATTTTACAGAGAAACGGCCCGGCCGATCGCCGCACAAAACTCAGAAACGATAGTCCTCATCGAGATACATCGAATGGCTTTTAAATTTTTGAAATCGGTCTAGCCGTTTTGGGGAAAACGTCGATTTACGGCAAAAAATCTGTTCACACACACACACACACACACACACACACACACACACATACTTTTTCCAAATTTGGTCTCATTCGATTCAGAATGGCTTGAAACGTCGAGAAAACATAAAATTAGCGAATCGGTTTTTTTGATGAAAACATAAACTTCTCCTTCGGGAAGTTAATAAAAAATTAATAACAATAATAATAAATATTAATAATAAAACTGACAAATAACAAGTAATCATCATGAATGAAGGTTTTGATCATTTTTCTATCCAATTTACCTTTCCATCCGTAAATGTGTAGTCATCATGTAAGCCTCCAATGTCATGAGGTCCAGCAAGTGGATCCTTATCCGGTTCATCGTCTGTGCTGCATCTTTTGGCAGCTATCGCTGCAGCAGCTGCATTTTGTTGCAGACAAGGCTTGCAAGCATATCTATAATCAGGAAAGCTGGCTTTGCGCTGCCTATATGTTGCAGGATCTGCTGCTGGATCACAAGTGCCATGAACAAACCTAATACATAGTAATAGTTGATGAATAAAATGTTGTACATATTAATATTATTACATTATATCAGTTTATACTACCTTTTACATTTGCTGCACTGCACCATCTCTCTATAAGCTGCAGCTCGGTATGCTCTTCTGCACAAAGGGCAAGAAAATCCTTTATTTCTCTGCTGATAACAAGAATCACAAACTGTATAATGAGCATGCCAACGAGAACTCAGACCAGCACCTGGTGTCCGAGAGCCACAATCAGAACACACTCTACAACACTGGAAAGATATAAAACATATTAATACTTAATAATTTTAATACCGAAAATACTATTAAATTAAAATATTCACCCTGCACTTCCAACCATATTTAGGAATGGATGCTAATTGAGGACGTAAGCATTGAGGGTGATAAAACTTATCACATTGTTCACATGCTGGTGATCTGCCATCAGGATCAGGACGGTGACAAATTTGGCACCACCTGCATGATTTGCACTGCCAACCAGCTCTCACACCTTTAGAAGAAAAACAATGACAGAATAAAAAAGTTAATAATATAATTATGATTACAAATAATATAATTGTAATTATGATTGTTGTTTAGTACCTGGTAATTGTGGAACACCTACACAAGCACCATGATAATGCTCTCCACAAACCGAGCATATCATTAAATTACCCACGTCTCCTAAGCCATTGCAAATTCTACAATTTATATCATCAGTACCTGAAAATGAAAAAATAAAAAAATAATTAATTGGAATTAATTGATAAAAATCACCTTTGAACCTCAAATTGCCACCTTACTCACATTGCCAATTACAAAGAAACAATAAAGGCAAGAATAATAAAACAAAATTATCCCTGCATGTATAAACCTACATATGTCGCATACACCTTACCATATGTAGGTTTTGAGACAGTTTTAGGGTATCAATGTACAAGCATTTACAGACTTACAGCTGGGTATCTCGAATTCCGAGATTCTTACCTAATTTAAGTTTAAATGACTGGACTAATGTAGTAACAAGGCTGTATGGCATATTTTATCATTTACAGTTACAATTTAAGAGCAATATCTAAAAGTTGTCCATACCGAAGCTCATCTTGGACAGAAAAAAAGAAATGGACAGAAGAAAAGATAATTTCAAAAGATGTCTCCAGTGATATATTCAACCAGCTTATTACGTGGAATACATAAGTGAACAAAATTTCATCATAATCAACAAGATAAAGCAATACAGGGAATCCTAAATTGATATTCAACAGATACACGGGGTCATTTGTACACTTTACAACCAAGTAACAGAATGCAGAATAACACAGTTCATTATTAATGCAAGTTCTTATAGTTCAAATATATCTATGTTTTGTAAATATGTTTCCTTTAAATGACATATTTGTAATGATAATTAACTTCCCGTAGGGTAAGTTATAGTAATCGCAAAAAAATCGAAAATGAAAATTTTTATATATCTTTACGTTTCAAAGGTTCCTGAACATTTTGGCATACCTTAGAAAAAATGGATGTATGTGTGTGTGTGTGTGTGTGTGTGCGCGCGTAGTATGTATGTGTGTGCGGATACAAATTTTCGTCGACGATTTAGGGAACACGGATGAAGCAATTTGAATAATTTAAAAAACATTTGATCCGTATTGATAAGGAGACGTGCTGATTAGTTTTTGGTAAAGGCGGGTCTAGCCGTTCCGGAGATACGGGGCAAAAAGTGCCAAAAACGGTAACTCAGTTTTTAAGAGAACGGAGCGTCCGATTTGAATAATTCAAAAAACATTTTATTTGTATTGACTTAATAAAAAACTGTTCAAATTTTTGGAAAGGCAGATCCAACGACTTTGGAGATATGGGGGAAAAAGTAAAAAAATGAGCCATTTGGCGGCCAAAAATAAACATTAGACTTATGCACATCAAATTATCAGATATTTATAGAGATTTTAACAATAAGTATAAATTTTGTTTACATTCCTATGGGTTCCGTACCAATGTTTACCCGTTAGACAGCGACGCGGCGCTTACGCGCTTTATATTTTGTCTCTATGCATTTAAAGCAGTACGATTGCTTTGAAAAAAAGTTCAGATCTTCCAACATATGTCAAAATAAAGAAAACATTTTTTTTCAAAAAAAAAGATTTAAAAAAAAAAAATTAAATGATTTTTTTTTCAATTTTTTTTTTAAAAATAAGTAATTTTTTGTCAAATTTATAGTTTCTCAAAATCTTATTTTTTCGAAGTAAATTTTGTTCAAAAATGTTAATCGTTTTTAAAAAAAAAATAATAACTTTTGGTACGGGAAGTTCCAGCAATTTGCCTTAAGGCACGATGCCTTAATTGCCTTAAGACAGAATTCCACTTACAGCTAGTTTTATTGTTAATTTTCATTTAATGTACTGTATACATTTGATGATTAATAAATCATGTTTGTATCAAAATCTTTTAGTACAGAAGTACAGACTTTAATTAGTTACATAACACAGCAAGGCACGTAGGCATGATCAAATGTGTAGATAATTTTCATTAAAAACTTACATATTAAAGGAACTTGTCCAAGATGCTCATTACAAAATGAGTTATGCGTTTGAATAACTTGAAATCCACCAGACGCTGCTACACAAGGAAAATGAAAATACTTTGGACAAGCCATCTAAAAACATATTAGAAATTAATTCAAATGTAATTATTCTTTATACCAAAATTAATACGTATAATCCATTAATTATGTACCTTGCATGCCAAACTAGCACCAAAGTGTCCACAAAACGAGCACTTTCTGTTCAAACTTTGTAAAATAACTGGATTTAGATTTAAATAGCTGTTTATTTTTTCAGGATTCTTCTGAACCGTCATACTCCACTCTACACAAGCTCTATGTGCATAATAATATTGCGATTGATCAACCAGGGTCAGTGGATCAACAGGTTCCAAGTAACCAACTTTTTCTAATTCATCAGTATACTCTACATTCAACGATGGATTCCTGAAAAACAAACATATAATTAACTATATGCTTACAAATCATTTCAGGAAAAGACTCATACTACTACTGACTTGCACTTGCTGAGCCCCTTCTGTCGCCTGTTACTGAGTTGCTGTTGATTAACATTCCTAGGGCTTTTATCACAACTGCCACTAGATGTATTATCTTTATTACTATCGCTTGCATTTAAATTATCACTATCTTCTGTGCTTGGTACATTTTCAAATTCACCATTGTAGTCAAATCGAAGCATTTCACCTTGTCCTAATTGAGTGCGTTCAGTTAAGTTGCAAAAGATACAAAATTTACCAGGCCTGGAATGAAATAATAATAATAATTATAATAATAATATAATTTGTATTTTATTTTTAATTTTTAATTACCATTTTTCAGTGAAATATGGGGTATCGTCATGCTGCACCTTCTCAGATAAAACTAAAGCACCTGTCTCAGAATCCAACATCATTCCTTCCTCACCAGGTGATGGCGGGACTGAAAAACTGTCCAGCATAGACATCATATCGCCTCGGTCTTCTCTACTAAGTCTAGGCCGTTTTGGTACACCTCTTGCTGATCCACCCCTAAAAAAATGATCGAATTTACATAAAATTTATATTATTTGGAGTAATCAATTGATTTCATTAAATTATTAAGATTGAAAAAAATATTAATTGTATATGTTATGTTGTTTATACACTAGTATTGATTTTTGTATAAAATCAGCCATTTACATATTCTGAAAATATAAAAAGCTCTAGTTTCTACATTATATATTTGATTAAAAAATAAATTTCAAATGAATAAATATAAAGCACAATTATTAATTTATTGTTAATTAATCATTCTAAAAATGTATTAAATTAATTTTATAGAAAAACTATCATGTAAAAATGGTTTATGTATTTTTTAGTTGATTTACATTCTCACAGTATTTATTCATATATTTTAACAAATTTTATATTTGAATATTATTTGTTATAAAACAATTGTTCATTTATATTTTGTATATTTATTATATAAGAATTTTGAAAAAGTATTGAATAAAATAATGCTCATGTAGTAATATATTTTTTATTAATTTGTTGTTTTTGTAGTATTTATATATTTATTTACTGATTTACACAAAAATTATGCATTTAAACACTATTTATTTTTTATAAAGCACAATTGACTATTTATATTTTGTATATTTGTTCATTAACAATTTATAAAATGAATTAAATTAATTTTATAAATAAAGTAATAACTCCCATGTGAAAATGATGCATGTAATTTTTAGTTATTTTATATTTTTATAGTCATTATTTGATTATTTAGACACGAATTTTGAAATTGAAATTTTTCTATTTATTATTCAAATATTTATAAACCATTACTTTAAACAATATTGACGAAACTTTGATTGATATGGTAATAATGTGTGTTTAGTTGAAGTTGAATAAACAGTTGGATATTTTATCTACATAGCTAAATCTAAATTTTAATTGATTAAGTTGATTATTACTCCTAGTTTTTATACTCATTATTAATATAAATATCGATTTTATTATTATATCAAGAATGCCAACCGTCTAATGCTCCTTGGACGTTCTTTTCGCCCAGAAAACTCTTTCCTCGGTCTTCCTGGTCCTCTTTTGGTATGATTTGGTGGTTTTCCGCCAAATGCCATATTTGTTAAATTAATTGATAATGCCCTTGGACTAGAAGGCTCCTCTCCCATAACTGGTGGAGATGAATTTGTCGAAGGAGGAGTTGATGCTAAACCTAAATAAATCAGTCAGATATAAGTAATGATAATATAAATATAATAGAGGATTCAAAGCAATATTGACTGTGGGTATAACTTGATTACATGCAAGAGTTTAACTTATATATATATATATATATATATATATATATAATATATACATAATATATTAATGTATGTATATTAATTATGGTGAAATTTGTATTCTAGAAATATAGTTCTACTAATATAATGTATTAAATTATCTTTTACTACCTGAGGAGGTCTGGGCCGATGGGGGTCCTGTAATGTACTCCTCGACGTCACCATCGTCCGAGGCCTCTTCAAGGTCTAAATCATCTTCCAGTGGTCCTTCTTCGACGTCCATTTTTAACTAAACACCAACAAAGTCGAGCCAACTAAATCAACAACACACTAAAACCGATAGATTTATATATTGAATACATATTTGCATAACAAAATCCATCCCAGACACAATAGACAATATTAATTATTCTGCGAAAGCACCTCAAACACCGCCATTACGCGAGACGATTGTAAATTTAATGACAGATAATGAAAATTATATCAACGACGTTTAATATGGATACGAAGTATTATAAAACATCACCACGATGAAGGATTAGATTAACACGTAACACTAATTTATAAAAAAAACGCAAATTGAAAAATTAAAACTAGTTAAAATTCTAAGGCGGCTATCATTTTGTGTACAAATCAGCCATTGCTTGGTATTGCCATAACTGACAAGTACAATATGAAGTGTGATTCGTCACGAAAATTAACATTAAAAATTCAAAATAAATAAAAAAAATTTATAAAATTAATAAATTCGAAGAATTCCAAGTAACTTTAATTCTACTTCTGCTTATATTTGCCCTGTATAATATTACTCAAGATATAATATAAAAAAATTAGGTTAAGTGATGACACTTTGCTAATACTTGTCATACGAAATTTACGTAAAGACGCGTAATAATGTGTGTAACGACTTGATTAACAACCTTTGAGAATTAGCATTGTGATACTAAACTTGTTACCCATTCCAAATTATTATGCTTAAACAATTTTTCATAGGCCTATATTAATATTTTAGTTGCCAGTCAAGGTTAGGACCTTGCATGAACTCTCTGTGCAAAGTTTCATCGTTTCATTCATCACGAAAAATCAGCTCGATTTCCAACTGATATCGTTCAAACAGATTCGAATTTTCCACCACAACATTATTTATTTACATTCTAATTTTTATATATTTTCAATCTTTACATGTATCCTATTCTATATTCTTATTTTCTTCAATTCTTCCTCTTTTTCAAATATCTAATTCTATTCTAGCTTTATTCAATTTTTTCTTCATTCTTCATTTAATTTCAGCTCAGTTCCAATATTTCTCTTCTTACTCCAAATACAATTCAGCTGGTCGAACTCTGTTATTCCTATTTTATCTAACAACACAATTTTTATTTGATTTCAAATTAACTGTACATATTTTTCCCTATATTCTAAGTCAATGACAGGATTTGATCTGAAGATCCCTGTTGTGTGAATTGAACACGCTACCAAGTGAGCTATGCTCGCCACAATAAATAATAGCAGTTATGTGCTTCATAAATGAATTTATAATATTCAATTTATTTATGTTTTCTTTAATATTCCACTTACAAGTATTCGATTGAAATGTTTCATGTATAGCTTATTATTAAAATATGTATTTTAGTTTCCTGCAACAATCTGAAATATTAATATTTATTTAAACTGTTATATATATTTATATTTCAAGAATACAACAAATTTAAACAGAATAAAATTTCAGATTGAGTGACAATGTCTCTTTCTGTTAATCATATCAAAGTAAAAATATCTTAAAAACAAAATTCATCATTGTATATTTCATACAAGTCTTTCAAATAACAATATTATCTGCAGCTCGGTGTCTTTACTTGCAAATTCCAAGTAAAATTTAACTAGAGCTTCCAAAAAAAATATATTAAGTATTTAACATCTCAAAGTTGTATAAAAACTTAACCATATCAAGTTTTTACAAAATCTAATGGAAAATCTGCTTTACTTTCTATGATCATCTTGCTTCAAACAGTTTATCAACTTGCTGCTGAATAATAATTCATCTGCAAAAAATCATTTTATATAAATAAACAATCATTTATGATGGAAAATCAATAGAATACCCTTACCAGTTACTCGGTAAGCCATGAGTATCAATGAAAATTGTTTAGCAGAGCTTTGAACAAGTCTCGAGAAAATATTCTTTTAGAATTATAATACGGCATCAGGTGTTTTACTATTTTATTAACTAAATCACCTCTGGATTGTATTGGTTTGTCTTGGGCCCATTTCGAATAGCTTGCAACTTTGTAGTGTCTTTATTAATTTTATTTGAACTCTGCCACTGTTGGTTGATCATGTTTTGTAGATGCAGCCTTTAATAATATAACATTTATTGACTGATTCGATCTGGAGTGTCTTGGCTTTTCTTTGGATCCTTTGTAACAGCTTGTATTATTGCAAGGGTCATTGTTTTGAACATTCACTTGTCATCACATTTCTTCCTTGACTTGATCACAGATTCCATAATTGTCTTATCACAGGAAATATCTTTCAGACATTGATAAAACTAATTTTATCAACAATTATTTTTCTTCAAACTACTGTCGGAATCTTCTAAAATCTTAACTTCTGTTTTGAAGTTTGTTAAAACATCAGACTTCAAAGTACTTGTTTCTTGTACACCATTCGACATCCAATTTAGTCCTTTTGGTTACATCAAAATCTTGAGACATTTCCTCACTGTGTTTTCTCTTTAAATCAGAACATAGGATGTTACTTTTATTCAATTCTAGCTTGTCCAGGGCACCATTTGATTCAAACTATCCTGCACTGATGAATTAGTACCACTGTTAGTACTAAATTCATTTTTATCTTTGATCTCTCTCATTTTTCTAATCCTTGGGTCCATTTTTAAAACACTCATTGTTTCAGCAGATGACTTCACTTCATTATCCTCGCTATGGCAACTAGAATCAACAGATTTCAGTTTTTTATCTTCTTCAAGTTTTCTGCTTGTCAAATTTTTTTGAAAATCTGAAGCAAGGATAAATTTTGACTTTTGTTTCTTCATCACTATTTTTTCTAATATTTAACTCTTCTTCAACTTCATAATTTTCTAAGCATTCATCAGATTTGTGCTCATCATCACTAATTAATTCTTTTTCATCTAATTTAGAATGCAAAGAACTTTGTTCAATATCAACATCAATATTGTTGCTTTGGCAATCAGAACTGACAGATTTAAAATTTTCATCTTCTTTAAAATTCCTGTGAAAATCTGATGCAAGCATAAATTTTGATGTTTTTGTTTCTTCATAACTATCTTTCTCCATATTTATATCTTCCTCATCTTCAGATATATTATTTTCCTGGCATTCATCAGAGTCATCACTATTTAATTCTTTTTCATCCAATTTAGGTTGGAAAAACACATTCAGAGAGGTTTGTTTCATAAAATCTTTCTTGATCCTATTTTTTTTTACAATTCTATCTATTTTAGGCGAAGTTTTAGCTGATTCACTTTTTGTTTCTTTTTGAATTTCTTTCACAGCCTCTCGCAATGTCAGTTTTGGTGTTGGTTTAAAAGTTTTTAAGGCATCAAACACCTTATTATTTGTAGTAGCTGATTTTATAGATGAAATCTATAAAAACAAAAGTAAACATGAGTATATTTATAATAAATAAGCTTATATAACTTCATATGTTTGTTTTACAAGTTTCACTAAATTTCTTCTGTACAGACATAACACTTTGTTGGAACTAAATATTTCATATTCGAGCATTTTGGCACAATCTTCTAAATCATTTTTATCAAGTTCATGTAATGGTGGATCACTTTCATCATGTGCAGTTAAGTTTTTTTGCAGCATATCTACTATCATTGATAAATTTGATTCTCTTGCCGATATTGTTAAGCCGGTAACCTGGAAATATCAATTATTTATTACTTTGTAACTCGTAAATGAAAATAAAAAGGAGTAGAATAAATAATAGTTCATGAACACAAATTATTGCAAATTTTAATTATCAAAAGTGGATTTTTATCCAAATCTATAAATTTTATAATATGATTATAATAGCTGAAGTAAAATGTAGAATGTTTGAGCACTATATTCTGCTAAGTTATATAATATTTTAAGACAGCTCATGTTTTCACACAATTAACAGCATTTTAAGACTACTTATGGCATTTTCAGATGATCTACAACAGATCCAAACAATTTTCAACATTTTCAGACAATTCAAGTCTTTTTCACGCAACTGACGACGTTTTTAGACTATTTACAATATTTTCAGATTATCTACAACATGTTCAAACATTTTATAACATTTCCAGACAATTCACAATACTTTCAAACAGTCTACAACATTTTCAGACAATTTACAACACATCCAAACAATTTTCAAAATTTTCAGACTATCATACAGCATTTTCAAACTATTTACAATATTTTTAGATAATTTACACCGTTTTAAGACATTTCCAGACAACTTACTAAACTTTTGAACAGTCTACAACATTTTCAGATAATCTACAACATACCCAAAGAATTTTCAACATTTTCAGACAACTTACAACACTTCGAATCAATCTACAACATTTTCAAACAACCTAATCCTGATGTCGCAAGTCAGATTAGAAGTTCCACAAAAATACAATTAATTAAATTATTATACCATAAGTGTTAAAATATACATTTATTACCTTAACTGTTGTACAATCTGCTGCTATAACACGAGCAAATTCTGCATTTATTTTAGGTGTACTTTCTGTTGCAGTCGAAGCTTTTCTCAAAGCAAATTGTTTTTGTATAAAAGTAGTTGTTTCTTTTTTCACTTTCTCTTCACGGTCATTATGACCACCATTATCTTCATACTAGAAAATAAAAACAAATTAACAACATTACATAACAAATATAATTTTTTATATATTTTGATATTTACATCTTCATAATCATTCTGCTTTATTCTTCCTCCTTCGTACAATTCACATTCATCTGTGGATTGTAATTTAGACATCAGAGTCTTCATTGTGCTGTTTTGATATTGAGATATTAATTTTTCAACTTTAGACTTGTTTGAACACACATCACAACGATTAACACAATTCGGCTTGTTGTCTCCAAAGTAATCAGAAAACACAGCATGTCTACACCTGCAATAATTAGAGCTCAAGACATTATTAATCAAATCATTTGTTACTAATATTATCCAACCTTGCTGATTCACAATATTCAACCATTTTGGTAAAAGATTTATAAGCATTCTTTGCCAGTTCCTTTTTTGCTTCAGTTTTGGCTTTATAACCATCTTTTTTTATAAGGAAAATCTATTGCTTTGCGCTCTGACTGACTGTAATAGATTCTGCAGTAAGAATTTTTGCCATCACGGCCAGCTCTACCAGATTCCTAAAGAAAAATAAAATTATTAATTGAAAACTAAATATAAATATTACAAATATACATAAATATATAATTTAAATATAAATATAAATCATAAGTTTGAATATAAATTTAAATACATTTACATACATACATATTTATAATCATAATTAATGTTGATATTTATAATTTATATTTGTAGCTATATTTATTATTATATTAATATATAAATATAAATCATAATAATTAATTCTAAATTATAAATATAAACATAAACATACAAGGAAGATATAATATATATATATATATATATATAATATATATATAATATGAATAAAAATATCAATTTATAAATATATAATTATAAATTATAAATTTTAAATATAAATGTAAATATTTATATTTAAAACACAAATATAATTATGAACATATTTATATGTTTATATCTATATTGTTAAATTTTTATTTATGATATAATTTAGAATTCATATTATATTTAAACTTTATATCAATATTTGTATTTATTTTCATATATATTATAATAGATATATAAATATATTATAAATTTATTAATATCTGAATTTCTTCCTAACTACCTGATAATAACTAGCAACATTTTGAGGCATTCCCCAATGTGCAACAACTCTAACGGTTGCTTTGTCGACTCCCATACCAAAACTATTTGTAGCACTTATCACAGGAACTTCTTCAGTCTGCCAACTTTCTTGAATAGAAGTCTATCGAGCCCCCCCAGACCTGCAATTGAAGTAAATTTATGTAACAATCAAGAGGATAGAATATCATGGAATAAAAATTTTATTAGCAACCTGCATGATAAGCCATTGTTTTTAAACCTAATTTAGTCAACTTGGAAGCTACTCTTTCTGTGGAGTCTCTTGTGCGACAATACACAATTGCACAACCTCGCTTACTCTATAACAAAACAATATTAATAACAAAATATAATGAAATTATATTATGCAAATGGCATACCGATTTTTCATCATCTGTTGCTTGAATGTGCTTTGAAATAAAGTCTTTCAAATGCTCATATTCGTCATCTATTAAATCTTTGAAACAAACATCATAATACAAATTTTGTCGAAAGCACGGAGTCTTGAATCTTAAATCATTAGAAATTAAATATATTTACATGCTACTTATGTTTTTTAACACTTACACTTTAACTGGCTTTTGTAACTTTAAATTTGTCAATATATCAATGACGACATCTTTGCTAGCTGTTGCTGTAAGTGCTATCCATGGTATTTTGGAAATTCCTTTCGTAGCTTACCTAATTTTAAATAATCCGGTCTAAAACAATTTTATATAATACTTTATACAGAACATCATGAAAAAATCTCAAATTACCTGAAATCATGTCCCCACTGACTAACACAATGCGCTTCATCAACGACAAAATATGAAATCTTATCATACTTATCCAACATTGTCAATAAATTCTGACAAGTATTTGTAGCAGCTTGCTCTGGAGTAATATGTAAAAACTTTGTTGATGGATTTACACTTTTTAAGTCATTAATAACCCTGTCACGTTCTTTGGTGGTAATTTTGGAATTTATCGATTCTGCACATATTTTTAACCGGTTTAAATGATCCAGTTGATCCTTAATTAAAGCGATTAAGGGTGAAAACACTATTGCTATTTTATTGTTGTATGTGAGTGCCGGTAATTGGAAACATAAGGATTTCCCTGAACCTGTAGGCATTGATACAAAGACATCATTTTTTCCTAAAACAAAAACACTCTTGTTAGTATTCATATTGTGTATATTATTACACAAACGTATCGTTTTTTTTCTTAAATTCTATTAGTGTTTATTGATATTATAGATTATTTGATGCTAACTTT